CATCAGCAAGTGATATTCAGCCACTTCCCAGGAAGCAGGGCTTCAGCACGTGTAGCGGTTGCTCTGGAAGGCAGACATTGTAAATAATGAATACCCCCCACCTTCCTCCTCCTTTTCTTAGCTTTTATATCTGAGCTGACGTGATATGGTATGGAATATCCCTTTGGTTAATTTGGGTCAGCTGGCCTACTTGTGTCCCCTCCCAGAATCTTGCCCACCCCCAGCCCCTTGATGGGGGGAATGTTGGAGAGACAGTGCTGATGCTGTGCCAGCACTGCTCAGCAGTAGCCAAAATACCGGTGTGTTATCAACACCTTTCTAGCTACCAATCCAAAGCACAGCACTGTGAGAGCTGCTATGGGAAAATAAACTCCATCTCATCCAGACCTAATACAGGTGAACTGCTAGTAAAGATATGGTTGAAGACAGCAACTGCAAGCAAAACCTTGTCAGAATCTCAAATAAAGTTTCCTTTAGGTTAGTCTCTAATTCAACTCCACTATTTGAATATGGTGATTAATGTACCTCTTGCATCCAGGATTTGAAAAACTATGGTAAAGGTTTTTTGTAGTTATCTCAGTTGAAACTTTGAGTCTGTGCTTGTATTGACTTGTGTTCCATAGAATGTATACTCTAGTCTGTGAGCATCTTCTGTAACAAAAACAGTATCTTACAACATTTAAATAGCTGTCTTTCTTCAGGCTTATGAGCTTTTAGGTAAAGCTTTGACTGTAAACTGAATTAGGAACTGGTTCCAAGTGTTAGAGATATCCAGGTATTACAAATATCAGGATTCTGAGAATGGAGAATGTTTTTCAGTTCCCAGTCTTTGTGTTCTACAAAGTTATGAGAGTATGGTGGGACTTAGGGAAATGTACATTTAAAAGTTGTTGCCTAAATGGCTGTGAGGAAAAAAAGACTCCAAGCCAAATTAGGTAGGAGATAAGATAAGGATACAAAGGTTTAATGAGCCCCCAGGCTTTCTGGAATAACCCCCAGCGCACGCTCCCGAAATCGAGATGTTCACAGTTTTATAATGATTTTCGCCCAATCCCCGTCCTGCCACCACCCAGGTTC